TCTCTCTCTCTCTCTCTCTCTCTCTCTCTCTCTCTCTCTCTCTCTCTCTCTCTCTCTCTGCTCCCGTTCCCGAGAATGGGTTTACATGCCTGGAAAAAAATAAAATTCGACGTAAACCGTTACTTCCCCGCTTGTTGTAGCTCTCCGAAGCGTTTTGAGCATAATCCGCTTGTTTTATTTGCCCTTTTTCCATCCATTGCTTCGCGCGAACACGGGCCCGTTTTCCGTTAACAGCGAACCGTTGCGTTACAAAAGGATTAGCGGGAGTGTCGTCGTTAGTAAAGGGACGAGGAGAGAGCAGGTCGAGTTCGTGGGAAATGTAAATTTTCACGCTAGCTAGGGGGAACACAAGCGCGTCGACGAAAGATACGATATCAAACTTTCAAACCACATGTGACCGAGCTACTGATAAAGATACTTGTGGCATATAGGATTACATGACATTTAGCATCGCGCGCAGACATTACGGTTAACGAGTGTCTTTTTATAGATTACCTTATAATTCTACGGCTCGATCTCGTCAGCGATAGTGTCCTTTCGAGTCGTAGATGGCTGATTAGAAAGAGAGAACAGAGAGAGTGTAATGTATGATTCTCCCCTTCTTCCTCCTCTTATTTTTCCTCTCCCTTCCTTTGCCTCCTTTATTTCCTCGTTCCTCCTGGCTCACATTGATGTTTCATTGAAGAAGGCCGACTATGACAGCTGTCTGAATCATTTTCGCGGCTCGCGTCGCGATGACTCAGTGATTCGCGCGATTGCAGAAGTCTAGCGTACGTTACGCAACCGTTATCCCAGATGATCGATATCGCTCATTAATCGCGACGTTACATATGTATTCAGCGATCACGCGAAGTGACCTCGCGTGCGCATTATTTTTTGCACAGTCATTGTATCGCGATCGCCTCTATCGCCACGTGATAGGTACGCGCACGCCGTGTAATTTTCGTCACCCGGGAATTATAAAATAATAAAACGATCAGATATAAAAACAACGCACGTGTATTTAAGTTCAAAGAGTCCGACAGGAGCCCATGTCCGCGAGGAGCGCAAGCGTTGCGCGAAACTCGTTGAACTCAGAAATTACAAAAAAATACGTTTTAGCAACGGTTTTGCATTCCAATTAAAGTTCCCTCCCTAAATCCCTTCCCCTCTCCTTCCACTCTCTCAGTACCCGTGCTTCTGTTCAAATCCGAGTTATTTAACCGTGGTACTTTGTAGCGCGCATTTTTCACCGGCGCAAAAAGGCATGCGTTGTTCGCGAAACTCATTAAGTCCGCCGGCACTTTGAGGCAAATGCTTTGTGCAAATCCATTTCTGTTAATGCACGTTTACCCAACTCCGAGGAAAAATGTCATTTTGCTTTAATAAAAGAGATGCTCTACCGAATGAGAAAAATATTTCCGGCCCCGGCGAAAAGAGCTCACTTTTAATTACGAGATTGCACGACGCCAGCCCATGTTGAATTATTTAACTAATTTTTATAAATGACCGCGCGACGCTGGCCAAGAAAGAGGCCCAAGGAAGGATCTGCGGACTTCTTTCGCGCTGTGTCAATTCCGAATTCAGAGCAGAGCAGTCTCTCTCTCTCTCTCTCTCTCTCTCTCTCTCTCTCTCTCTGTGTGTGTGTGTGTGTTCCTTTATCTTCAGATTCTGTTGGTGAATTCTCGGCTGCGATGTCGCCGCGACGACGATACTTACCTCGCGAAGAGTCGCTCTCGGAGCAGCGCGATCGATACCGCGGTCTGTTGAAACTTATAAATAACCAGTTCTTCTCGTTTTTCACGTAATGGCTCGTTAAGTAAGTTCAGCAATTGCACGATTACACGATTTACCTGGCCCGCGTTCGAGGAACGCAGCTTCTTCCGCGAGCTCGAACTCTCATGCGGTTCGTGGTCAACGTATTGTTGCAACCGCGGCTGCCAAGTGTACACCTTAAGTATCTCATATTGTGCTGATTTGATAATTCAGATTCCGGAGCGATACGTCGGTATTGCGCAAACCAGGGTAGGGATTGCGCAACGCCAGACTGACACGTGCGGATGGAGTGGGAGGAAAGGAGGGAGCAAGAGAGAGAGAGAGAGAGAGAGAGGATCGATCCGAGTTTAATCTCGCGTCGTCGGGGGGACCGGTTCTCCGAGGAAACTGGATGCGTCGTTGTACATACGCTCCGCTGACGACGCATTCGAAATAACAGTCAACTGCGGCTGTAGCTTGCGACTTCAATGTATATACATGTACACGAAGAGAATCTCATAGTAAAGATTATTATAGAATTTTGTAACCGAGCAGTAGATCGATATTCTGCAGTAGTTGACTCTGTCCTTTCATATGTGTTATTTACTCCTTTAGGCCCGTATTAATAGTCGCATTTTCGCTGAAAATCCTAGCTGAAACAGTTTTTGAGATACAATACAATTCAACAGTTCTATCTCAAGATCTATTTCAATATGAGATCTTGAGAAGAGATCAAGCAAAAAAAAATTAGTGAAGAATGTATTGAGAGTCGTTTCGCGCTCTTCAATAGTCGATTATTGAGATGAGAGTGCCAGATATGCTCATGCAATAATAGTCGTTACGTATCGTCTTACTGAATAAGAAGAATTTTAAAGTGGAAAAAATCTCGTATTACCCAATTCATGTGTGGAGATGTGTCGAGAGAGGCTTGTGTCTATACAACGTGTTTCTAACAATGATAGAATTTGGGAGTACGTATGACGATTATGAAACTGTGCAGCCGCGAATTCCAAAGCGTTTCAATATAACAAGTCGTAGTTCTCGCGACAATTCCGTGACAACGTCTAATTCGAAAGTTGCACGACTCGTTTAGGTCGGTGCGGTTTGAGCGGTTTCTCGTAACAGCCGAATCGTGTTTAAATCTATGATATAATAAAAGTAATCACCTTTCGTTCGAAGCGATATCGAGATGCTCGAACGGAAAGCGATACACTCTTTAGCATGTATCATAAAAAATAAACAGTACACGTTGAAATAAGCAGTAGCACTATCTAATTTGCGAATGTATCCTTTCTTGTATATTCTCGCTGTGATTTTCAGCACGGCACTTTACATCTGAAATATCAATATTTGTTAAATCCATATTGAACGTGAATAAGAGCAATGTCGTTTCTAAGCAATATAGTCACTGTTACTGTTGACTGTGATCTGTTCAAGGATTGGTTGTAAAACAAATACTGACTTCTCGTTATCGTATTGGTGATACATTTGTAACGCCGTGTAGCTTGTATCTATCAGAGATATGCTCTCTTAAAGTAAATCAGTGAATAGTCACTGATATAAGTATAACACTGAGCACTTTCAGTGTAACACTTATAACTACAAATCAGTGTATATTCATTGCTATCAGTGTTTTACTGATTCATTTTAAGAGAGTATACTGGAAGCTTTGTAGAGTGTACTGAAGCTTTGTACCTCCTAAACAAAAGTGGAAGCGTGAATTTATAAGGACGATACTTCAAATTGAATCACTATAGTTATTATTATTGTGAATCCCGTGCTAATACACCGGGAAAAAATCTTTTATGAATGAGTAAGTCGAAATGTCGTTTCCATTTAGAAATTAATACCTCGATTAATTTGGAGGTACTACGCGATACATAGTTAAGAGTGTATAACTGTGTTCCTCACGCGGGTCTTGGGATTACAGTTTCCGCGGTGTTAATTAGACAACAATTTTGTAGCGGCGAACATGCCATGCCGGTGGCGCGTGTCTCGATTAAAATTAAGTGGACAGCGTTATCTCGGTGAGCGTCGTAAACTCGCGACGCACACGCGATTCGTTCGCAAAAGCAGCAGCCGTCCTCCTTCTCCTCTTTCTCCTCCTCGTCGTCGTCATCGTCGTTGTCGTCGACGTGGCTGTCGTCGTGTGTGCACAGTATGTATGTTAAAGGCGTTATTTACAATGCTTCATTATCCCCGGGGCGTTTCGTGACGTTCGCGAGCCGCGAGCGATGCGTATATGTGCGCGCACGTAATGCGATAATTCGCATAATTATAACGAATGATCGTCCGTGACCGCTATTAAGTGGAAATATAAATGTCGCTTCGTTTGTTACGTGTACCTGCTTCCGATTCTTATCCGCTTTATAGGTGGACACACACGTGGACACTGCGACGGTACGATCGAACGAGGCACGTATGGCGAGACGACCAGTTTACCGCAGCGCGCATGTGAGAAACCGGAAGGTAAATTAGTTGCACGAAGAAAAAAAGAGTGTAGATAAGACGAGACCCCTCCCTCCTCTTCCTTCTTCCTCCGAGCGAGACCGCCCTCACCGATCGGTTTGGGGGTCAATCGATTTTCGACTTGGAGCCGGTCCAAACGTTCGTGACACGGCGGAAGCCGTTCTTCTGTATAAGCGATGCCTCTCGCGGGTTTTCGCGTTCTATCGAGCGAACCGGCGGAAGCTGCGGATAAAGGAATGAGAACTCGATTTTGCCGAGCACCGTCGGGTCCGCGTCCCAGAGCGGTCCCCGATGTACACGGTGTCTCGGACGAGTCAAGGTCGGGCGTACCGAACGTCAAGGTCTGGCGGTGGTGATGATGATAAATCTCGGAAATAAACCGTTTTCAAAAATTTCCAAAGTCTTGAAATATGTAAAACGACATTCCTGCACGGAGAGAATTTTATGGTAAAAATCGCTGTAGAATTTTGCACTCGGGAAGAATAGATACACTGAGAGGAAAAATACCTAAAATGAGTAAAAATATTTATTTGATGGGTGTTAACAGCACACATATTCACTTCTTTTATTTAAATAATTCTTTTATTTAAATAAAACAAATAATTGTCTTCACGAAAAACTAAGGTTTCCTTGAAGTTTCAGGAAAATGTATATTTTCTTGCTTGAAAAATATTTTATATTAGTATAAGTAAGTATGTGTGTGTGTGTGTGTGTGAATCAGTGATGCGATCAAACAATTAACTGAAAGGGGCTGAATATCTCGGTTAAATGTGACACGCGATCTAAATTTCTTCGAGTGAAATCTCCCTCACTCAAAACGAGGGAGAAATCATTCCACTGCGGAAGTGAGTGGAAATTCGTTCGAGATGATAATGAAGATACTGCCACTGGGAATCGGAAAAACGAATGTTTAATTTCCACCGTAGGGTGGTATTTTTAATCCATACGAGTGAATATTTTAGTCGATTAGAGCGAATTGGTTCCCGCGAGGGTGGGATACACCCGAGATTCATTCTCTCTTCAGTCTCGATTGAAAATATTCCCCCGACTATTCAGAATGGAGAATTGACTTTATATGAGTAAAAACTCGACTGGCGCTCCGCGTTTGGAGTGTAATTTCGCTCGAAGAAATTTGAACAGTGCCATTTCGTTACTATTGATAGAAGACAGATAGAAAACAGAAGACGACACAAAACGCGACGGACTTTTGAAAGCTTCTGATAATACCTGTGAATCGGAAGTTCCTGGAGACATTTGGAGAAGTTCTCCGGATCGGGTGTACTTGAGAGGCGCAGTAATACATTCGTACGAATCGATTCTCAGAAGCGACTCACGTTCCTCGTCGTGTTATCACCCCCGAGGAACGGGTTTTAAGGAACAACCGAGGACGTCGGCAGATCGTCTCTCTGTCTCTTTCCCTTTTCTTGTCTCTATCTCTCTTCTTCTCCCTTTCTTTGTCTCTATCTCTCTTTAATCTAGGTATTCCAAAATAGAGAAAGAGAGAGAGCCTGAAGATCGTAGATCTTGCTTTTGGCTTGATTACGCGATAAAACACGCCGTGAACGAAGGGAAACCTTCGTCGGCGAGGTCGAGGGCCATGAATAAAAACGGCGGAACGACTCCTCGAATCGAATTTCCTGCCCGAGCTACGTTTGTTTATCGTACGTCGTCTTGCCGCCAGTTCGTCCACGATCAAGCCGTTACAAAAAAAGTCAATATTCATTTCACCCACGTATTTTTCTTCGTCCGACCGCGAGGTATCGGCGGGTGGAAAACGCATCGTAAATCGCGGCTCGAGCGCGTAATCTCTCTTTCTCTCGCGCGAAGGATTTACGGCTGAAATTAAATACCTTAAATATCCGATATCGCCACGTATATGTGAGCAGTTCTAATTGCCTCCCTTTTATATTTCTCCTCTATATCTCGCTCGGCCATATGTCGGAGGAACCCCCGGGGACTGGATATACTTAGACTTTCGCTCGGCAATATACTGTCGCCGAAAATCGAAGCCGCCCTCGACTCGATACTCTCGCGCGCGCGTGCAACGTTGTCTGATCGCCCGGGTTTAATTGAATCTGCTTGCGACAAGGGATGCGATCGCATCGCCCAATAGGACGCGCTCGTGTTTCACGAAGATCACATTAGTTCGGGGACATCGAACTCGAGATACAGCTGATTTCATTTTAAAACGCGAAATCGATCAAATCGCGAAATTACTCGCGCGCCACAAATCTGCCTGCTCTCGAATTCCGTCGACCTGATTTTACGATATTATGTACGTTACATATAACGTCGTGAAGATTATAAGAATTATACATAAGGTACAAATTCGTACACTACAGTTTGTTAATTGAATATCTGGCGGAGAGATCGAACGCAAAGGATTTCTTAACATTTGTGCGAAACAAGCGCGCGTAAAAACGCTGAATGCGCTGAACGCGCGTCGAAACACATATCTCATCTTCGCGCGAATTTGTCGGCGAAACGTGAGAAGCTTATTGTACTCTGTCAAAACTCGAGAGCTCGTAGGAGGGCGTGGGGAAGCAAATGTCATTCGCCTGGCAAACAAATTCTGCCGACGAACTAGCTGTCCGTGGACGACCACTGTGTAACTCAAATCCGCGTAAGTCCGGGGATTCATACCGCGCGTCTACATTTTCCATGTGGAAAATGCGTGGGCGTTGCGGAGGAAAAAGAAAAAAAGCATAACGACACCGCGCGTCATCGTTAGGATCGTCTTTATCGCTCGCTTTTCGCGCCCACTCACATTACACCTCGTTATTAGCGCGACGATCGCGTTGCGATCTCGTCTCCGAGACACGGAGTGTCACTAGAAACGTAATCTACGAGATAATTTCGCTCTGCTGCCCTCCCCTCCGACCCACTTACACATTGCGTCAATATTTCGCGCTTATCACTCGGAGTTTTCTCGTTTTTGTAGTCGCGGGGCACTCCCGTGAATTCGCCGGTTTATTAAAATTCCCCCCTTCTCCCCTTCTCTGTTTCGCCGCGGCGTTGCATTACGCGCTGCTATTTTGCGCGAGTAATGCCACTAGGGTGGCATAATAATACAGCGATAGCGCGCATTATAACCGCTGTTTACTCGCAATTTTTCTCTCCTACCCGCCAGCAGGTCGGAGCCCCTCGTCTCTTCCCTTCCTCCGAGCGTTATCCAACTCATATCCGCTGTATTGTGTCGTGTATTCTGCAGTTTGCACAGTCTGTCCGTCTCTGTCCGTCCATCTGTTCATCTACCCAACTTCTTTATTATACTTATTATACTTTATTTTGCCTGTTGTTTTGCTGTTGCAGATAGAGGTGGGACCGCAGAGAACTGGCCGGACGTCTTGTTTCCGCATTAGTAACGTGAGTAGAATTTCTTGTAGACTAATTTTTCTTGCCAAACTCTCGTTAAACGTTCAAACGAAGCCACGAAAAAGGGAAGAGAGAGGAAAAAATAACGATCTGCGATAAGCAATAATAACGGAAGACCGACGAAAAGTTCCCAACGAGCGAAAAAACTCAATCAAAGTTATTCCTGACCGAAATCCGACGGTCGAAGTCGCTGTGTGAGCTTCTTCTTCGCACTGAATATTGGAAATCGCGATTCCACAGCCACCTGGGGACTCCCTTTCTCTCTCTGTCTCGCGCGCACGTCCTTCTTCGCGTTTTTTTTTTTTATATAATTTTTTGGTCGTTATGCTTATATGTCGATCTCACGAAGAAAGAACTCCCCGCCACGGAAAAAGGGACGATTGATACGAACTCTTCCATAAGAATCCAATCTCCGAAATGGCACGGCAAAGTTCGAGCGATCGCAACGAGTGCTTCCTTAATACCTGTCCGACGCTTTCCGTCGGGACAAGGAACTTTCCATCCCTTCTTTCTATCCCTTTTCTTCTCTTTTCTTCTCTCCCTTTTTCCCGGCTTCCCCCGCCTCACCCTTGAGAGTCTCCCTCCACCGGGGAAAATCCAGGCCCGATTGTGTAGGGGGCAGTGGCGGCCGGCTCGAACGAATCCGTTCGATTGCCCGCCTGCGCGCAATAGTCCGCCGACTTCCCGTTCAGATAGAAATCACCCCGTATATAACGTCGGGGTAGAGGCGAAAAATAGCCCGGCGAACGAGCGGTTAATTTGTCGTCGAACGCGAAGAAATACGCGAGGAAATCGCGAGGAAGCAGTTTTTCGCGGTTATCCTGTCGTTTTGACCGTCGGAGCAATTCGCGGAAGGAAGAACGACGGAAATTGTCGCGCTAAATGGCCGATCTAACCGAAATTATAGTTATTTTTTATCCCATATTTTTTCCAGTAAAATGGTAGAGGTAACATGGTAGAGGTAACGTAAAAGTAAAAATAAAACGAGGCGAGTCAGATCGAAGTCAGATTTGAGAAAGATATTATTGATTTCTTGTTTCAAACGAGCTATTTTATCGTGTCAGAAATAACCGACACAATAAAACAACTTATTTGAAACAAAAACTAACGAGAACTGTCTCAAATGTTATTTTGACTCCGTTTCTTGACTATAATTTACAGTAATTATATCTCCATGTGTGATCACAGTTATAAATACACCATTCATCTTTTTTCTCAGTGCAAATCGCGAATTCAATCACGGAGATCCGTGTCCCCCGCGGGGCCCGCAGGACCCGGTGGGGCGAGAACGGCGCATGCGAAACTTCACACGCGCGTTCGCGCATTCATTGTCAAGGGGCCCTCTTAAACCAAACTCGCGCGCGCGTAATTAGCAGCCGACCTGTGCGAAACAGACGTTCTCTCTGTTAGCACGTTACCGTTGGTGCAACAAATTGAAACACTCGTCGAAGCGTCGCTCGACAAAACGGCCCGTTGTTTGTTGCGCGTGTGTCAGGCGCGCGCAAAACGACTATTTCTCGTCTCGCGCCGTGAGCATCGCGTTTTGTTATTCCACTGTTTTCGCGGGTATTCGAGACGGTTTTTATCATCGCGCTCTCGCATGCGGAAGCACAAATCTAGAGATTAAACAGCGCGCCTAAGCTCCGACGCGCACACGGTACTCGTCGCTTGGACTTTGGCGGTTCAGCGAGTTTCATAAAACGAAAATCCCTCGTCGGCGTCGGCAGTGGAATTTTTAGAAATGCGTAAGCCGCTTTGGGTACTCTTTCGTTCCTTTTTCTTCCTCGTGACTACGTGTATCGGCGAATTGTCCTCGACGAAAATACATCGTGCGCCATCGCGCCGCTTTTCACAATCGGACTGAAATTTGGCGAATATGTTCTGAAACGCGTGATCAATTGGCCGTGATTGTGCAAGAATGATTCGATTTGCATGAAGCACGTTTCGAGAGAAAGGAAGATGAACATTTAATACATAATTTTTTTGCAATAGTTCAACATGGTCAATTTTCTTCTTTTTAAGGGCGTGACAAACTTAACCCTTTAAAAAAATGGATGAAAATGACGCAACTAGTAGAAAACAAAAATTGTTTCTAAGTTAATTTTAGGTGCTCATAAGGCTTCTTTGTTTTATGCAAAAAGATATTGACCTATGATATTTACCTATTGATAACAAAAAAATTATAATTTTTTTAGTTAAACCGTTCTTGCATAACTGTGTTTTTAAGATAAAATTACCAATACTTAGACATTAATAACACTGGCATTCTGGACATTTTTATTGTTTCGATTTTAAATTTGCCAATGTTTAAACTTTTAACATAGAAAATACTGAATTTCCAATATACACATATTGAATGTGTACATACATTTTATCTGTACCGCATGCCTTCCCGAGATATTTTCTGAGCAATTCGAAGTTTTTCCCTGCGGCAATTAAACTTTGGCTGGCCGAGTTAATAACATAATTATTTTCTTCGATCAGTTTCAAGTGTATCTTTAACGGAATTTTAATTTGATATTATGTTGCGGAAATTGAAAGAGGTCGCTGTAAATAATGACGTTCCTCGGTGCTTCAGGCCAAAAAAGAAAAGCTCTTCCCAAATTGCTAGAAGGGTCTCCCGGTAAAATTAAGGACGCAAGTTCTAGGATATCCTTCGTGTGCGACCCCCGTGACGCGCTTCTTTCAGATTCGCAGTAGCTTTTAATTCGATCACGCGAGTTAGCCGCAAGTTACACGGTCGTTTCTCGAGACAACAATCGCGGCGCGTTCTCCCGAGCGTAAAAGACTTGCGTGCCCGCCTCGCGAACGTACGTAGATGTCTTATCTACCGCGGCCAAACGATGAGTACAGTGAGTATTTTTTATAATGTACTCACGAGAGAAGTTACATTATTTGCCGCAGCCGCCGTAATCGGCGGTGCGACTTCGCATGCGCTCTCAGCGAGTGCAATTGTCGTGACAGCATTCGGGCGAATACGTGCAATTTACGATAATGTCGCGTCGCACGGCGCACTGCCTGTAACTGTCCCTTCACGTGCGCTCGAGTTGTTACAATTATCCGACTTTATGGAGTCGCCCTCCACGTTAACTGAGAGTCCTTTAAAACAGTTACGTTTTAATAAATTATAATTCACGTTATTGTCAATTTATATTTAATATGGTTTCTGTAGAATTTTTACAGAATTTTTATATAAAAAACTACTTCAAAGTTTCTATGAAGAGAAAATATGAGAACAAAAAATGAGAGATATTTATTCGATGGGGACTAAAAATATATTAACATGAATATAAATTCTTTTATTTAAATAGAACAAGAGCGATTGTTTTCATAAAAAACTAAGAAAATGTATATTTTCTTGTTTGAAAAATATCTTATATAAGTGATTATACGTTTTTAGTGAGTGCTGTAAGTAAATATACATTATTAATACTGCCCAAATATTTTAGTTCTTAGATATATTCTTTCTCTCAATGTATAAATTTTTTAAATATGAACTTTAGAATTTTTATACAAGTTTTATATGCGACATTTTTTAAAACTTTTATATTTTATGCACGAATTTTCAGAAAATGTTATGCGAATTTTAGAAATTTTACACGAGAGTATCTATAGAATCGTTCTAGAAAATTTATACACAAGAATGGGTTACGTGTCACGTCTTTCCGGAGTATTTTTCCGAGACGTCGGTTTCGATTTATTCCGATTTATATTCCTCGACATGGAAAATTCGCGATCAGCCGATCGACGATTGTGCGAGAACACTTCGTGGGCGGACAGATAAGCGAAATTAACGTTTCCCACGCACTCGTGCGCCTCGCGCGGAAAACCGCTTGTCAACCGCGTAACCACACACACGTGCTCGGGGATTATCCCGAGCGGAGAAACTTCGCAGTCGAATCACCTTCCGAGAAGGGCCACCTTCTCGTGCATTACACGAGTATGATGACGAACCATTACCTTCGAGAATGCGGCTTCTACGGGTCGCCGCACCGCGCACGAACGTGTCCGTGAATGCACGCGCGAAACACACACGCATACACACGTACTTACGACTCACCGATGAGTCGTAATTCATAAATAATTTATGTCGACGGGGTATATATGTGTGCGGTGGTCACGCAATCTCGATCGTGTCATCCACTTTTTGCCACGAAATAGCGGACCCCCTGCGCCTCTCGCGAATCTGTCGACAGTGCTATCGCGATTTCGATTGCTAATTTGCAATTTTAGGAGGACACGTAACACGACTAATTAATGACCGTGCAACCTATTTAGGTACGTGAAATTCGCCTACTTACGTCAGATTATACAGAGATAGATGTGAGACCTTAAAATTCGTCTCGTATATTTTTGGACAAAATTAGGTTCAAGATTTTCCCATGTGCAGCATGTTTATAAAAACTTGTTAAAAACAAGTTATTAATTTAGAATAATAAATTTGTTGTATTATTTGAAACAGAAGGGAGGAAGAAATAGAAAAGAACTCTGGAGGAGAACAAAACACCAATGCCCAAATATAGAAGATTCTTTAGAATATCTAATTGGGAATCCAGTCTGATTCTAATTAGAACGTCTAAATTTGTCCCAAGGATCGGTTCTCTGTCTAAAATCGAAACAAAAAATAAAAATTCGCGTTTCTCTTTTAGTCGGTGATATTGATATATGTGCCACTAGAATACCACTTTTATAACAACTATTGTATTTATAATAGAATAAAACAAAATGTAAAATAAAATGTTTTAAAATACTCTGAACATTTTTATACTGAATAATATTATTCTGTAGAAAATTGGCATGTTTTATTTAATTAATGTCCATCTTAATGTAAAATGGGGATCACATAAAATATTGGGAAAAGCTTTAGTTCCCCCACTTAGAAAATCGCATGTTTAAAATATTACTTCTATTTAGAACCTATAATTATTTTGAGAAATTTCCAATTTCGGATTTCCAATTAGATACCCAAAAGAATCTTTTATATTCGAACA